GCGGGTGGGCCATGTTGCCCCGGGCCGGTGGGCCGGAGGGCGGCCTGCTGCCTCACCGGTGGGCGCGGGTGGGCGTGTGGCCAGTAAAGCTCGACTGACGAGGCCGAGGGCGGCCTGCACTTTGCCAGCGCTGATGCTGGACCGTCCATGTTCCTTTCGCTGGATCGAGGCATGAGAGTGGAAGACGTGGATTTTGTTGTAGAAGAACAAACTTGTTTCTTGGAGAAAAAAAGATTCATGTCTTACCTGGTTATGTAAGTCAGGCTGCCCCCCCCCCCCGTATCTGGAAGAACAGTGGGGTGCAGGGACAGCAGGCCGCACCCGTCCCCCGCAGCGGCCGCTGGGAGGGCCGTCCCGTGAGGCTGCTTCCGGCTCGTGGTCGTCGGGCCTCAGACCCTGAACTTCTCCACGCTGGGTCTTTTGGTTGTTTCCGGCTTTCGCCGGAGGGTCAGGGCTTCATGGAGTGTCTTTGGGTTTTACTTTCCGGACTTGAAATTTCTGGGCCAAGATTCTTGATCCCCGTTGTCGGCTCTGCAGAGCCCTGGCGGGAGGGGCCCGCCCGGGACCGGCTGGGAGGCCTCGGCCTCCCCTCGCTGGGCCTGGCGAGTGGCTGCTCTGTTTGCCTTTCTGTGGCTGCTGTCCGTGCTGAACCTTTTAAAACACGCTTATCACTCGGGCTTTCTCTTCCTGTTCTCAGGCTCTGTCCATTTATCCTTTAGTGCCCTAGTGGCTTTTGAAATATTAACCTCTACGTGGTTTCCACGGGTAGCGGCCGCCGCTCCCTGCCAGTGCGCCCCCAGACGTTCCTGTGCAGCGGGCAAGGGCTGGTCGTGGGGTCTTCACACATCTCCTGACTCCCTTCGTGTGTAGGGAGCCCTCTCTGTTCCTAAAATGAGCGTTTCGCCCCCCCCCCATATTTTCTATGTGGATTTCGAGGAGTTTCATTTTTAAAAAGCATCCCTGCAAGACATGTGGGGTCAGTTTGCGTGTGTCCTTCAAAGGGGCGTCCGTAGCCCCAGGGAGCCGAGGCGGGCCTCAGCAGCGCAGGGGTCTGCCCGCACAGCGCACCCCAGGGCCGCTGAGTTAACGAAGGACACTTGGGATTTGCGCCAAGTCTGGGGCACGGTGGACGCATGTGCGATGCTCTGGGGTCGGGGGTCGGGCCAGGGCTTCTGCTGGGCAGCAGGCGCGCAGTCTCCGCTTCCCATTCCGGCGCGGGGTTCTCCAAAGGTAGGTGCTTGTCTGCGGTCCAGGCTGGTGAATCTCGAGCGGTGTGACGCTGCTCTGCGGATTAATCCTGTGTCGGTTTTAATCACAGTGTGGGAGGGTGTCATCTGTTAGAAATGCCCCTGATGTGCTGAGCCTGGGGCTTGTTTTCCCAGCAGGGGGCTGTGCCCGGGGCCCAGCTCTGCAGTGCTGCTCCCAGCCACGAGGCCCTGGGTTCCGGCATGGGCATTGCGTCCTATTTGCCCTTCACTGGTCAGCTGCTAGCTCAAGCCTCAGCTTCCCAGCCTGAACGTGGGGGTAATGAAGGCACCTGCTGGCTAGGGTTGTGGTGGGGGGTTAGATGAGACGGTTCAGGGCACTTGGCACTCCATGTTCTGGAAGCTTCTCCAAAGCGCCACTCGCCCGGCTCTCCTGGGCGGCGGGTCAGGGTGGGCGCCTGTGGCGCTGACTGGAAGTCGCGCCCCACCGCGCGCCCCCAGTGCCCCCTCCAGCAGCCTCGCCCCAGCCGTCAGGGGGTGCTGCTCCCCTTTGACAGGAGAGGACACCGGCCATGGTGGTCCCGAATGAAGCCTGCTCCAGGGGACGTTGCTGGAAAACAGTTGGCCTCAGGCACCAGAGAGCGGACCGCAGCCCTCGGGCCATCCCAGGCCCCGGCGGATTCTGTGTGGGCCGCTGCATTTTAAGACGAGTTGCTCAAAAATCGGATTTCTGAGAGGTGGAACAGCAGGGAAGGGGCGGTGAGCCTCGCCGGGACACACGCCGCCTGTGGCTGCTTTTGCGCCGGGAGCGATTGCGAAAGCGACTCTGGCTCCTACAGAGAACAGATCTCTGACCTCTGTCCTTGGCTGTGCGCCCTGAACAGCTGAGGGGGGCGTAGAGGTCGGGTTCATGGAAATCGGGCCCCCCAGCGTCAGGCCAGTTCAGCCCTCTCCTTTGCCTCCCCGTCCCTAGTTTCAGCTGGGGACTGAGAGGGCAGCGACCTTCCGTGCAGGCAGCCGGCCGGGCGCCCCCTCCCCCAGGTGAGTCATCTTCCCGCAGGCTGGAGACACTTCAGAGCTGGGGCACCTGGAAATCATGATGTTCTCTCGATAACGCAGCGAAACAGGGATACATTAGATTCCTTTGTGCACATGTCACCGCGGTCTGTGCGGGAAACAGGGAACTCTAACGTGCGCCGGGGGTTGACTAGAAAGGAAAGAGGAGGTAGAAGTGGGGGTGCCGAGAGCCGCTGCAGCTTTTCGCTTCCATTTATTCTTTTTTGTCGTTGCTCCCCCAGAGCCGCTTGCATGGGACGTTCCGCTGGGCTTCCTTGTCACTGCGGTGATGGGCTCGTTAAGCGAGCCCGTCATTTCGGAGGCAGGGGGCTGGGCAGCACCCGCGCTGGGGTCAAGGGGGCTGCCAGTGGCCTGGGCACCCGGAGAGAGACGTCTGATTGGACGGTGCAGAGAGACGCGGCCGGTCTGGCTGGGGGGGGGGTTTGGAGAGGAGGAACAGCAGCAGAGACGCTGAGCACGGTGTGAGCCTGAGGACAGGGCCACCCCTCAGGCAGGCGGGAAGGAGACGCCCTGCGGTGCTCTGGCACGCTGTCCCCACCACCGGGGAGCGGGCAGCTGTGCGGGGCCAGGTGTGTTGCTGGACCCCAAAGTCCTTTCTGGACTGGAGAGAGAGTCAAGGAAATAACTCTGGGGTCTAAGCCAGGCAGGCAGCCAGCGCTTCTGGCAGGTTCATGGAGGCCTGGAGAAAGGTAGACCAGTTGGCTGGCGGGCGCAGGGGCCGGCCCAGGGCACACCCCGACGTGGCAGTGAAGACACAGGCACAGACCGCTGGTGCTTGTCCTGCCCGGTTCCTGGAGGTGCTGGGAAACCCCAGGTTAACCCCCTTTTCACTTAGAGAAATACATTGGCCCCATCCTGATCCTTTGGAAGAAGGTGGAGTAGATTTAAATACATAATTATGGGAAGGTGTCTGCTGTTGGCTGTCTGGTAGCTTGGTAACTGGTCTGACAAGTTTTTCCTTTTCACCCTCCCTCTCGGTGAAATTCATTGCCTAGCTATTTCCCACTGTGTCACCAGACCCTTTGCCAGAATTAAAATCTGTTCTTTGTGACTGAACACCTGAAATGCCCCCTGGAGGCCCCAGGACCATAGCCCTGGGCTGGGGGCCCTCAGGGTCTCTGTGCACCTGGCCCGGGTAGACCTCACCCTTTCCCGGCAAATCCACCCACGGTGGGTGCTGAGGGCTCCTCACCGTCCTCTCCCCCACCTCCGCCCTCCTTTCCCCTCTCCTTTCCTCTGCTCTATCTCTCCTCCCCCTCCGCCTCCTGTAACTCCCGCTTCCTATCTCCCTCCCCCCTCTCTCCCCCTCTTGGGCTCAAGTCGTGCTAACTCAGGCAAGTGTCTGCCCACACTGAAAAGTAAATACTGTCAAGGATGGAAACAAACAACCGCGAGACTCGCTTTCCCCGGCCCCGCTGCCTGGCACTGTGGGCCAGAAGAGGGCCAGCAGATGCGCCGGCTCCTTCTGTCTGGCCTGGGGAGTGGGCTGAGGCCCCCACAGCGCTCTGAGCTTCCGGGCTCCAGGCAGGGAACGGAGCATCAAATTGGCATCACCTGGCACCTTGCAGATGGCGCTCAAACCTCACGCGCTACAGGCTTTGGCTCGAGGGTCATCTGAGTTGTCCCTGTCTTTGCATCTTCTTGTCCCAGCATGTGGAAGAGCTTTATCTGTGGAGTGCGTCCAGGGGCTCTGTGGAAGGAAACGGCTCACTTGGAGATCCGCGGAGTATCACTCAGCGGCTAAAAAGGAACGGAGTCCTGCTCCAAGCTGCGGCTTGCACGGAGCTCAAGGTCCCGTGTAGTGAACAAAGCAAGACGGGACGGTCACTCGCTGATTCCGCTTATGGGACGTGACCAGAACAGGCGTTACCCGTGGCGTGTTTATCTGTGGGCTTTGTTAGAGCGGAGTGTCTGCGGGGGCCCCCCGGAAGGGAGCTTCTCACTTGGAGATCGGGTGCGGACAGGACTCCGAGTGCTGACGCCGAGGCGGATTGCTGACCGCCTGCAGTGCTGTCCACAGGCGCGCGGGCTGCCCCTCCGGCCGCCTCACCAGTGGCTTCTCACGCTTGCAGAGACCGGACCCCACGGCAGGCGACGCAAAGCGAGCCGGCTGGGCCGGCAGCCGGGCGGCTCCTCTCTCGGCCGGTGAAGTCCCCGCGGCTCGCATCGGCGACAGTTCGCACAGCTGCCGTCCCCCCGTCACCACTGGGTCCCGCATATTTCATCACCCCGCAGAGAAGCTCTGTGCCACTCACACCACACGCCTTCCTCCCGCCACCCTCTGTCGCCATGAATCTGCTGTGTCTCTGGACTTACGTGTCCTGGACACGTCCCGTAAACGGCATCAGCGTGCGACTGCCCCGTCGTGCTTTGTTCACCCTTGACCTTGAGCTTCGTGCATGCCGCGGCCTGTGTCTTCCCTCTCAGTCGCCGAGTAGTGCTCGTCGCCTGTTATGTCCTGTTTACTCCTGTCCCCACGGGCCAACACTTGAGTGGTCCCTACCTCTGCCGCCATCACAGGTAGCACCGCTGCGGTCGCTGAGCGCGTCCTCAGGGAACACGTCTGCTCAGTCGTCTGGAGGACACAGCTAGGAGAGGGCTTGCTGGTTCCCTTGGAATTGTGTGTTTCACTTACTGATCAAGGTTTCCTTTATTTTTATTTATTTTTAAAGAAGCCATGTTAGTATCAATGAAAATGCAGGTTCCCAAACTACACGACACGAACGCGCCGCCTCGTGGACTTCTCTAAGGCGAATATCCTTGTAACCCCTACCTGGACTGAGAAATCGCACGTGGCGGGGGCCCCTGCCTCCCCCCGCCCCCGCCTTGGTGGGTGCCACTCTGTCTTGGTATAATTTTACCACATAAAATTTGTAGGAATCGCAAAACAACATACTTTAGTCTTACTTAAAAGATCGATGTGCCTCTTTGGGTCTCCGGCAGCAGTTCTTGCCCGGGGTGACTCTGCAGGAGGCATTCAGCACCGGCTGCAGACTCTGGATTGTTACCAGTTGGGAGCTGCCGTCGCAGGCTGGTGGGTGGCGGCCAGCACCCTGCAGTGCAGACAAAGCCCCATGCCACCGAGGATTTTCAGTTCCCAGTCTGCACAGCCGAGAGACCTGGTCTACAGATTTCCTCTCCACCCCTCTGGCTCGCAGTGTCCGCCCGAGCTGCCCACGGCACCTTCCCGGCCCAGCTCAGCGTGGCCTCCGTCCTGTGGACACAGAGCCAGGGTCTGTCACCGCACCCCAGCACCTTCACAGCCAGTCGTCGTCACAGAAGGGCCCCTCGGCCGCTCCCGCCTTGAGCGTGGCCGTGGGTGAGCCGTGTGCTCTAGTTCTGCTTTTATTTTTTGAAATCTGAAAGTTTGATTATGGGGCCAAACAGTCCTCCCTGACCTCCCTTTTTTGGTTTATGATAAACAAGGCAGGGACTGAACTTCGTTGAGACTTTGCGTTCTTTACAAAGGCGAGTTGTGCTAAGCAAGTGCTCGTGCAAGCGAGTGAGCTCTGAGGCTCACCTGCAGAGGAATCCTACAAGGGCAGGGAAGAGCCAAGAAGCCTTAGGATTCTTGGCTGTACAGAAAACAGAACGGGCGGCGACGTGGGGCCACACGCCGGGGTTGCAGGAATCCAGACAAGAGGTGCGTTCCCAGTTTGGGTGTCTGGTGACGGCTCGGGGTGTCGGGAGTCCTGAGTCCCAGCGCAGGCTCAGAGGAGGCGCCGGCCGGACCCGCGCCAGGGAACCCCCGCTCTTCTCGGCCTTCTTCGCAGCGTCGCCGGCTGCCTCTGGAGCGCCACGAGCCCGCGCGGCCGGACTTCGTGTCGGGACGTTGCTCTTTGCCGGGAGCAGCACACCCACACGTGTCCGCCGAGGGAGCCGTGGCTGGCAGCAGTGGCAGCGTGCCCGTTGGAAACGGGAGTCGGAGGACGTGAGAAAATGAGGGGCAAGCGGACGCGGGGCTCTGGGAGGAGGGATGGGGCTAAGGCAGAGCCGGTTGTGCCGCCCCGAGGTCGAGGGGCCGCCGCCCTTCCCCTGACCGCACCGCAGCCTGGCCCGGCAGGCAAACGCGCCGCCCTCCCCGCTGGGCAGGGGCCCGGGCGCGGGGAGGGCGGCAGGGCCTGTTCTCCTGGCCGAGCGGGCATCCGGCGCGGGATGTGCTCACGCCCCGGAGCGTGGCTCGGCCGCCTGGCGCCCTTTCTCCCGCGTGGGGGTTCAAGGCGGTGGGGAGGTCGGGCTGCTGCCGTTAGTGACAGCGTGGACCCGCCCCCCGGCTGGGGCTCCGGAGCTGGGCTGCCCCACAGGGTGGCCGCCCGCGGCCGTTTGGGTTCCGTGAGTGACAGACGGAAACCCAGCCGCTGCCCACACGCACACACCACGTTCAGCCCACGCGGACCAAGGGCGTCTCCGTCTCCGCGAGTCTGTGGGCGCCGTCGTGGCCGGAGCCTGCTGGAGCCGGGCAGACCCGGGCCGGGTCCTGTCGCTGGACCCGCCGTCCGAGCTCGTCCCTCCGCGCCGCCAGGGGATGCCCAGGGAGCCGGCCTCCGGATCCGCCTTTCCCGGCGCCCTCTCTGTGGTCAGGATGAAACCCGCCCCTCTTCTCCGCCTGAGTTTGCTCATCTCCCCACACTGATAGGACCCTGGGCTTCTCCGCGGCCTGTGCCCGCGAGCCCCGGCAGCGGAGGCAGGGCGGCTGGGCAGCCGAGCTCAACAATGACGCTATTGTGGCTGCGTCTGAGCAAGACGGGGAACAAGGAAGGGCCAGGGCCGGCCGCGGGCCGGACCCAGCGTGTCCTCTCGAGCGCGGGTGCCCGGGAGTGAGGAGTGCTCCCGCCCTGCGGGAAAGCGGGCGCCGCGTGCTGGTCAGCCTGAGCAGAAGCGCGGTGCGGGTAGAGGGAAGTAGGCGTGGGCAGGGACCGACGAGCGGACTCAGCCAGCTCAGCCTGATGCGGGCGTTGGTGCCCGGTCAGCCCGGGCGCGCCAGTCATGTGCCTGCATGGCTGCCGACGCCCCTCAGAACCGCTGGCGAGGCCTGGGAGGACACGGGCGTGCAGTGGGCTTGGTGTCCGGTGAGTGATCCCCAGCTTCTGCTGAGTGAGAGCCCCCCGCCCCCCGTCACGTCTTTACACAGCCGACATTTACTTTGCGCGTGGGACGAGCGGTGGCTGTGGATCAGCTGCCTGCGGACGGCCTGCGCGCTCCTGCCTGTGACCGGCAGGAGGGGCGGGGGCGGGCACGGGGCTGGGCGCTCCGGCACGGCCCGCGGGGACGTGGTCAGTGTTGGCCGTCAGCAGGTGCTTCTGTTTTCCTGCTCACCTCCCAGCAGGCCAGCTTGGGCTCGGACCACATGAGGATCTCGAGGGCCCAAGGGCAGCAAGGACCAGCCTCCGGGGCTGCTGTCCCTTGGTCAGCCCAGAGCCCAGAGAGACGCCGAGCCGCGCGGCTACCGGGAAGCGACAGGGCCTGTCACCCAGGGCCGCCTCCTCTGTCAGTGACGCGCGGTGTCTTCGCTGACTAAATTCAGCCCGAACCATCGACTGCGCCTGGGATATCAGTTCTACTTTATTCACCTGCCACGCTGACTTAATCACTATAGATTTGGAACATGTTTTTTTCGTGGTAGGTCTGCTTTTTCCCTAATACACTTGTTTTTTGGCTGAACTAAGCAATCTCCAAACATACCTCCTCCAGCATACAGAAAGTCCTTTGAGATTTTGATTTAAACATTTCATTACATATAAGTTAATTTGTGAAATCAATACCTTAATGTTTTTCCTTTCCGTGCAGATAGGTGATTATTTTTTTCATTTGTCTTAATCTTTTCATATTGTTCTTTTGAAAATGTTTATCCCGTGTATTTCTTGCTGTGCTGATTTCTTGCTTCTTGTATCGGGGAGTTTTTCTTGTGAGTTGTTGCTTCTTTGAATAATCCTGAATCCAGTTTTTTAGTGAAATTGATTATGAAGTAACACACATTTTTTGCTTGCTGTGTACAGGTTTAGCTTCTAGAAATGTCAGTCATGAAGAAAAATCCTGTCTATCCACCATACCTCCCATATCAGCTTTAAATCTTACTCTATTCCCTAGGACTTCCAGGCTAATATTAAATATTTAGAAATGGTATTACCTGACATTCATATTTAATAGATTTCCTAATAGAAAATCATCCTTGCTTTCCGGCAGTAAACCCTGCTTGGTTGTGATGAATTATTCGTCTAGCATAATGTTAAATTTGATTTGCGAGGTTTGCTTTTTTTGAAAAATTTTTGTCCTCTGTCCATAAGTCCAACTATGCCGTATTTTTGTTTCATGTTGCAATCCCTTCATCAGGCTTTATTGCCTGATATTCTAGCTACATAAAATTAACTAGACAAGCTCCCACTTAAAATATTTTAGGATGATAGTACAGATTAACATTTCTGTGAAAAGCTGATTATTTGTTGGAGAAATTATAGAGTTCCGTAACCTTTCGAGGAAGTAATTCTTTGATAACTTAGGAAAATTGGACAGTAGGCTGTGAGAGAATGTAACGTAAGAATTTAGAAAATTTCCAGTAGGCTATTATATTAGTAAAAAAAAAAGAGATAAAGACATAGGATAAATGTAATAGGATCAGAAAAAAAGATTTCCAGTAAGCTCTTTTTTTTTTTTTTGGTTTATTTATTTATGCATATAAGAACTGGGGTACAGGCCTGTGGGGGGAGAGTGAGAGGAGCCCCCAGAGACAGTGGGGAGCAGAACAGGCAGCTATATGAAGCACACTGCCGAGGGGGCAGCGGGGGACAGGACGGGTCTGCTGCGCCCTGGGGGTCCCGCCCCGGCCGTGAATGCAACTCGTGCTGCAGGGGCTGCCAGCGGCCTCACAGCGCTGAGACTCACCCCTGCGCCCCCAGCGAGGCCCGAGGCCCTTGGGGCGTCCACGTCAGGGTCAGCAGCTGTGCACACTCCACAGCCCTCGCAGCCATTTCCCCCAGAGCTCTAGCTGTAATGGCTCTCTGGCTTGCTTCTATATTCTTCTTTGCGCCTGTTTAGATCTGCCAGTTCTGCTTATTATTTATTACTTATTTTGGGCAGGGGAAGCAAATGTCAGATTTATTTAGCAATTCTTTCCCCCATAAGTAGCTCTTTACTGGTATCTGGGTTTCCTTCACTTCCAGACTGCCCTGAGCCATGCGTTCGCCGCCTGCCCTTCGCTGCCACGGTGTGAAATATCTGGATATCTCCCCGCGCAGCCAAGTCCTTTCTGGCCTAATTTGGGGGAATGAATGGATGAGCAAAGACCTTAATCTTATTCCTTCAATGCAATTAAAGCTCGGAAGGCCACGAATGCACCCTAGAGACGGCTTTGGCTGCGCTCCCAGCATGGCTGTCTCACATTTTTGTTTTCATTATTTTCTAAGCAGTCTGACTGAGAAGGTGATTTGGATTGGTTATTTTTGATAGTCGTCTTCATGTCAGCTCCCACTGGATGCCTGCTTCTCAAGCGCTTCACGTCACTTACCCCACGTAATCTTCCCAGCCACCCTAGGAATTATTCTTGTTTTGCCGTTGTAACAGTAAATGCAGTGAAGCTTGCAGAGGTTAAGTGACTCGCCCAAGGTCGTGCAGGTAATGGCGTGGGGGTGGGGTAGGACTGGAATTTAGTCCCTGATCTGTTTTCATTCTAAACCACGTGCCTTTTTGACTATGCTGCACTGACTCTCCAGTTGAGTGAGTTTTAATCACTCGTTGTTAGGGCTTAAAAAAAAATTAACTTTTTATTTTGATGGGTTGTTTCACTCTTCAGTTGACGGGGTTTAAAGAAAAACAAACTTATGACTTGTGGCGTTTTTGCGTGTTAAAGTCGCTTGTGGCTTTTTGGTGGCTGAGTGGTGGTTCAGCTTCTGCAACCGCATGGAAGCTGCAGGAACAGGGCTCAGCGCCTGTGGCATCCTGGGGACAGCCCCCGGGACCACGTGCGCGTGGCGTGTGAAAATAAAGCTAGCTTGGCTGGCGCAGCGTCTCGGTGCCACCCAGTGAGGCGCTGTCTGAGATCCTCGTCCACGCTGGCGTGGCTGGCCTGGCGGTGCTGCGTCCTACGGCAGCCGGGCCGGTTTCTGCAAACGTCCTTGCTCTTTCCTCTCCACGTCGTGTGTGTGGCTTGGAGGTCCCGGCCGGGGGACCCTGGGCGGGGCTGCCGGCCGCGCGGCCTGGGGTCTGTTTCTGGGCCGTGTCTCAGTGTGGGGTGCAGGCAGTCGGGGATCTGCGTGCCACCGGAGCCACGCTTCTGCTGGCCGCGACTCACCTTTGCAGGGCTCTTTCACGTTACGGGCGTGACAGTCGGGGCTTTTGTTTGAGATCTGATACAGCTTTGAGTCTGCCATCTGGAGTCTGTGTCCCTTGCACTTTTTAATTGTTCATGACGAAGCAGTGGGGGGTTGGGGCGGTAACGTCTGCCTGGAGCGTCCGTTCCGTGACCCCGAAGCTCGCGTTCTCTGTCGAGGTGCACCCTAGCATGGGGTGTGAATCCTGGCCGGAGCCTTTAAAGAGCAAAGTCTTCCAGAGCTTCTGCACGTCACTGTGAGCTGCTCCGGCGTCGCACCGGTGCACGTCGAACGTCCAACACGAAGACTTCGTCAGGTTTGGAATTTTTTAAAATTAAATTGTGAGTGTACAGAGAACACACGCAGACTGTGTATCTAAGGTGGTCAGCAGAAAATTCTTTATTTTTTAAAGATTGATTTCTTTATGCATAAGCAGTTCTGGCAGAGTGGGTGATAGGACCGACCGGAGACAGCGGGGAGCAGAACAGGCAGACGGAGTGAGACACGGCCGAGGGGCAGCGGGAGACCGCAGGGACCGCTGAGCCCGGCGTCCCTCTCCCCGGCCGGAGGCTGGACTCGCGCTGCGGGGCTGCGAATCGCACGGTGCTGCCCTTTGACCCCTGCGCCACCAGGGAGGCCCACAGGAAACGGCTCTGAAGTTCTACTGAGTCAGTAGTGCATCGAGTCACCACTTCCCCCCACCTTTCCCCCAGACTGATAACATCAGTCACTCTGCTTTGGGTGACAGTGGAGGATGGTGGGGTGTGGTCTCCTGGGGAGTCTTCTCGGCCCCACAGAGTCCCTCCTGTGATATTACTTTTGGGTGGAGAACACGATTTTTGACATTTGCACACAGCACAAGAGGGAACTGGCCTCGTCCTGGCAGCACAGTTTCCTGGGTGCTCATCCCTCGGGCACCTCCCTGTTCTGCAGACCGGGACGGGGTGGGGGGGTGTGTGGGAACGGAGCGCCCCGAGACCAAGCGGCCGCCCGGGCCCCCCTGCCGGCACCTGAGCCTCCTTACCTGGCTCTCACACCTGTGAGCTCTTGGGCGCCCCAGAGAGGCCACGAATCCCTGTCTCTGTGAAGCCTCTTGGACAGCTCCGTCTCCCCTGCCGCGACGCTCTGGGCCCCTGGCCAGGGCCGGGTCCCCCGCCGTCTGTCTGTCTGCCTGCCTGTCTGTCGTCTATCCATCTACCCCTCCTCCATACAAGAGCTGGGGCACAGGCCAGAGGTGGGGGGGGGGGCGAGAGGGTTAACCAGAGGCAGACTGGGGAGCAGCAGAGCAGTTGGGCCCACTGAAATCCACAGGGGAGCAGTGGGGAGACAGGAGAGGTCTGCTGCGCCCCGTGGGTCACCTCTGGGGTGGGGCTCGAAGTCGCGCTGCGGTGGCGACACCACCAGACTGCCCTTGAGGACTTCTGATTTGAACACCAGTTTCCCCTGGATGCCAGCTTAAGGGCCATCCCTGGTGGTCACCCCCTTTAACTAGTTTGAACTGGGGGCTGGTTCTCTTCTGTAACCCCTCACCCCAGGCCAGTTGGGGAACTGGGCCCTTCCTGGCCACCCTAGGAGTGGGGAAACGAACTGGGGCCT